AATCATTATATAATGCCATTCTATGTCTCTTTTAACAGTTTTTGTGTTAAAGCATTTTATCTTATATGTGTATGGCTACCTCTACTTTTCTATTAGCATGAAATATCTTTTCCCATCCTTTCAGTCTGTGTTCATCTTTAGTGGTGAGGGTGTAATCTTGCAGGCAGCTAATGGGTGGGTCTTGATTTTTAGTCAATTCAGCCAGGCTGTATCTTTTAATTATCTAATTTAGTCAATTTAAAGTTACTGTTGACAAGTAATTATTTGGTTCTATCCCTTTCCCATAAATATTTCTGTTGTTTGTTTTGGATTTCTTTTGTACTGAGAGATTTTCTACCTTATAAGAGTATATTTATTTGTAATAATGACTATCATTTTCTGTTTCCTATAGGTAGTACATCTTTAATCATTTGTAATCATGAACTAATGCTGGATTAGTGGTGAGAGCTTTTTGTTTGGTTTGAAAGGTCTTTATTTGATGCTCATTTATAAAAGAGATTTGCTGCTTATTGTATTCTGGGTTGACTGCATTTTTTAAAAAATTTTTTATGACTTGGACTATGTCCATTCTCTTCTAGCTCATAGAGTTTCTCTGATGAATCTCTGATGGTAATTTTACACTTCCTTCTTTGGACATTTAAGAATCTTTTCATGTTTTATTGTTTGAAGGTTGACTATACGTTGTCAAAGGTTAAGTTCTCTTTTGATCATGTCTATTATAAATTCTGTGTGCTCCCTTTTTTAGGATATATCTTTCTCCCTCCAAATTAGGAAAATTTTCTGCTCTTATTTTGTTGAATAGATCCTTTAATCCAATCTCTTTTTCTGTACCTTCAGGAACTCCCAAGACATGTGTGTATGATCATTGAATCCCACAAATCTTGAATACTATTTCCAATTTTTATGATTTTTTGGGTCAGATATTTCCATGGATGTGAGGGTAATCTGGCTGAGGCATCTGTCACCCTATTGATTGCCAGGGTTGATTCAGCTGATCTGGCTGGCTAAGGCGGTTGTCCCCTTCCATTCTATGTATGTCCCTCCCACAGTTGGAGCTCAAAGAGGGCGACCATTCCCACTAGAGGAGCACCAGTCTTTAGTCAAGGGCATCTGGGTAGCTGTGGTCACCTGCTAGAAACTCCAAACAATTTCTCTAGATTATTTTATTATTACTTCATAAGATTAGAGTAAGTGATTTTCAAGGGCTCCTACCTTCCCCAAATTACAGGAATAGGTACATGTGAACAAATGTGTAGTGTTACAATACAGATAGCAGATATGTGTTGGCAACAAATATGAAGCAATCCAGAGAGGGGAAGACAACATTATATCTTTGTAACAGGAAACCATGGATACCCCCACAGCCCAGTGATTTACCTACCAACGCCTTAATTCTGACAGATTTATGTACCTAGTTTTCAAAGACTTATTCATTTGAAAGGCTGAGTTATAAAGACTGGAGAGAGATCCATCTTCACTTTCAAGATGGCTGCAATGGAGAGGGATGAGCAAGGTGAAAGCCAGGAGTTTCATCCAAAGCTCCAACATGGGTACAGGGGCCCAAACATGTAGCCTGTCCTCCACTGCTTTCCCAGGTAGATTAGCATGGAACTGGATCTGAAATAGAGCAGCCAGGACTTGAACCGACGCCATGTAGGATATTTACACCATAGGTGGCAGCTTTGCTCACTAAGCCACAGTGAAGGTCCCCTGGTTTTGGTAGATTAAAAACCACTGGTCTTAGGCCAGTGGTGGCAGATCAGGCTAATCCTCAGACTGTGATTCTAGCATCTCATATGGGTGTGAATTTGAATCCAGGCTACCCCACTTCTGGCTTCCTGCTAATGACCTTGGTAAACAGCGGAGGATGGCCCAAATGCTTGGACCCCTACATCCATGTGGGAGACTCAGAAGAAACCCCTGGCTCCCAGCTTTAGACCAGTCCAGTTGTGGCCATTTAGGCCAGTTGGGGAATAGGCCAGTTGGGGAATAAGCCAGCAGGTGGAATATTGAGTTTCTTTCCACCCCTCTCTCTCTCCTTTTCTCCCTCTGAAATGCTTTCAAATAAAATAATTCTTTGAACACACACACACACACACACACACACACACACACACACACACACACACACACGATATCCCAAGACATTGGCTTCTTGCAGAGTCTTCTGTCTTGTAACTGTCAGTTGTCCCAGCATTAAAATGTGATGCTAAACAGAGTGTGGGTCGAGCCAGGTTGGCTTGTGACACATACCAGTACACATTAAGGAATGCCAAGGTGAGAATAGCTGTACTAGATGTGGTTGCAGCGCCCAAACAGCACATGACAATCAGAGGGAGGAGGTAAAGCCGGCAAGGCAATGTGGGTTCCCCTGCTGGACAACTACAATTGGAAAGCTTGAATCAGGATGGGGGCTGATCAGACTAGGTGGGGCTATAACACCTGGGGGCCTCATGTGAGCCAGATAAGGGCCAGATTAGGCTGACTGTTCCAACTGGTGCAAGCAAAAATTAGAGTGGGTGAGGGTAGGTTGGGTTTAGCTGCAGCATTAGCTGGCAGAGGCTGGCATTGGGAGCTAATTCTGTCAAGTCAAATGCCAGAATCACCTGGAGAGTGCATACTCTGGGAGTGGCTGTGGCCTAGAAGGGAAATAGTGAGCACCTCCCTCGGGATTACCACTCTCACTGGACAGCACGAAAACCAGGACAGGGGCAGGGGTGGCTAGACAGAAAGGCACCTGCCAGTGGGTGTATGGGCTGGATAGTAGGTTGGTTGGATTGAAGTAGGCTTCAATGGCCATTGACATGTGCGAGAACTAAATGGGATGTGGGACAGACTGGACAGGCCTGCGGTACATACTGGCAAGCATAGGAACCAGGGTAGGGGGGCAGAACTGGTGGGGGTTATGGGGAGGAGCCCCAACTAGGCTCCAGCTCCAACTGGTTTGCGTGAGGACCGAGGACGAAGTGGGTAGGATCAAACTGGACTACAACACCCACTGGTTCACGAGGAAGACAGGGCTGGAAACAGAACTGCCCCAGCAATCGCAACGACCAGCATGTGCATAAGCTGATTGGTGTGACAGATGGTGTTGGAGTCTGTACTAGCAAACTCATGCAAGAATCAGGTCTGGAATCATCTCAAATGAAGTTTCTTTGGAGATCCCTCCAACTGAACTGATCTTAGAACCCCAAATGAAGAGACTGTTAGCCAGTGGACTCTGAATAGGTTCCATTGCGATTGGAACTGTGAGACTGGCAGCAATCCAGGACTGATGAACTATCAAAAGTGTTTGAGCAGGACCCTCAGAGCGTGACATTCATTAGGGATCTGGGATGGGTGGGAGATTGGGCGGGGCTTTTCCCTTTGTAACTCCCCTAACCCCAGATACAGGGAAAAATGATACTATTAGTGTGGAAACAATGGTATTACCTACTTTCACCCTATAGCCCTTGACCCTTTGCACCCTAATCAACTAAGTAAGATTATTTAAAAAAAAAAGTAAAAAATAAACAAGTAAATAAATAAATAAAAATGTGATGCTAGAGAAACCTAAGGACTAATTAGGGAAAAGGACTATCTTTCCTGACTTTCATAGAATGAATATCATGTTTACCTTAACTCTAGATACTCTTTTTTAAAAAAGATTTATTTATTTATTGGAAAGTCAGATATATAGAGAGGAGGAGAGACAGAGAGGAAGATCTTCCATCCAATGATTCACTCCCCAAGTGAGCGCAACGGTCGATGCTATGCCGATCCGAAGCCAGGATCCAGGAACTTCTTCCAGGTATCCACAGAGGTGCAGGGTCCCAAAGCTTTGGGCTGTCCTCAACTGCTTTCCCAGGGCACAAGCAGAGAGCTGGATGGGAATTGGAGCTGCCAGGATTAGAACCGGCGCCCATATGGGATCCTGGGCGTGTTCAAGGTGAGGACTTTAGCTGCTAGGCCAAACTGCCGAGCCCAACTCTAGATACACTTAAGATTTCCTGAACTGGTGGAGTTCTGGTTTTCTTGCATTTCTGTTACTTAAGAGCATGTTAAAAAAAATGTTTAGGGCATGAGTTGCGGTTTTGAATTATGAAATATATTTCCCTCAGATTCAGAATTTTATAATATGGGTTAAAATAATCACAGGGTTTCTGAAAATGCTTCAACTGTAGTTTTAAAAGTGCCTTAATTCACTTGTGTGATTTTCCTTTCCGTATAGTTACTTGCATTCATATCCGTTAGCCCAAGTATAGATCTATTCAAAGTTAAGCCTTGTTTGATTTATATTTACATCCCTCAAGGTGCCCAGTGAAAAACATGTTCACTGTACAAAAACTATGCCTAGGGGACTGGCATTGTGGCACTGCAGATTAATGCACTACCTGTGACACCAGCATCCCAGTTGGGTACCAGTTTGAGTAGCATCAGCTTCACGTCCTATCCATCTCTCTGCTAATGCACTTGGGAATATAGCAAAACATGACTCAATGGTTTGGGTCTCTGCCACCCATGTGGAAACCTGGATAAAGCTCTGGCCTCCTGGTTTTAGCCTGGCCCATTCCTGGATATTGTAACCATTTGGGAAATGAGACAGTGGATGGAAAAATCTCCGTGTAAATCTGCCTTTCAAATAAATAATCCTTAAAATATACATGGTAAAGATGCAATAAAAATGTGAAAAAACTAAACTCATTGTTTATGCTAACAATGGAGAATTCCCCTTCCCAAATGGCCTATTTCCTTGGATCCAATTTTTTTAACAGAAAAAATTCTTTATTGGCAAGGTTAAGACACAAAACTGTCAAGTACCTTGTAACACATATGATGTTAGGATTATTGGCTGGCAGAGGAGAAGAGTGGGGGCCTTCATACACTGGTGGCATCACCTTGACATTGTGAGACATTTGGTTTCTCAGAAGATCATATGAAAAACTAGTGACATAAAAAAATGAATCACAGTATGGATTGGGAATCTTGTCTAAAGAAAAAGAATTCTACACATAGGCAAGTAAGTGTAATAAGAAGTTTATTGGATTTCTAAATATAATAAAGTAGTTGCAGTTCTCTTACAGAAAAAGAAATGATTTTCATATCTATTTTTGTAGAGCTTTTGAAAAACATAATTGACAGAGAAAATTGATAAGCTAAATAGAAACATGTTTTAATATAGTTGAATAATACATAAATACAAAAGAAAATACACAAATCACTTGCTTATAACAGGTTTTATTCTTTTATTTTCATAAGAAACCATGTGTGTTCTTTTGAGTATGTCAGTGTTGGTTCATGATGTAGTGAATACATGTAATTTGCTGAGTATAAAGGAACAATGAAACCTATGTTTTAGGAATAGCATGGCTCTGTCAGTACCACACATGTGAATAAAGACATCTCCCCATATGTTTTCGTGTGGTTTTCCCTGAGCTAGGGAAGGGTATAGAGACTAGCAGCTGATCATGTTGGGTTATGACTGTGCTCAGCTACTAGGACATGCATCCAGAATAGAGGTGACCTGGCTTATCCCGCTCTCTCCCTTCTCCCTGATCTATCCACTACAAACACTAGTTAGCCTTTACATTAAACTGTCTTTCACGGTCACAGTCATCAAACTGAAACCTTGAGAAAAGCTACCTTGAGGATCTCCCAGTTCATTAATTTGAGTCCAAGGAGAAAAATATATGGCAGTGTCTTATGACATCACAGGGATTTAACTCATCACTGGTAAGCAAATCTGAAAACAAAACAAAACAAAAAAAACAAAATGGGAAATGACTAGTGCTTACATTGCAAAATAAACAAAAGAGGAACATCCAAAATGTGCATTTTTGGTGAAGAATAACACTTTAAAATGATCAGCTGGTTGGTCACCATGATGATGACTAAAGTGGCATCAATAGTCCCGTGAAGTATGGAGAAGTGAACTCTGCTACCTTCACATCTGGTTTAGGTAATGATGCCTTTTATAGAGAAAGCATCAATGCCATATTCAGTAGCTCCTCTTTTGCTTCCATTTGGTGAAAGTGGGTGGGATAGGAGACAACTTTATGATTAGGAGGACATCAACGGCTTCCTTTGGAGAAAGGCTAAGTGGAGGCTTCTCACTTTCTCAGAGGGATATTCAAGTGAATATGGAGTCAGCTGACCCAAAAGGAAAGGGAACGACTTGGCAAGTGTACTCTGCCAGCTGGTTGAATCAGACGACACATTGAGAAGGATCTTTTTTGGAATCATGTCCTCCCTTCAACTCTTCTACAGTCATGTACTGTCTACCTCATCCTATTTACCTGGTTTCTCTGCCTGTAGTACCACTGGGTAAGAATCCACCATTCAAGGCTAAGCTGCTGCTCTATCAGCAATATCTGTATCTCTGCAGTCAGGGACAGAACTATAGAAACAGAAGCCGTTAGACAGCATGGACTACTATTTTTAGGAGTCAAAGTAAAAATGCTCCAAGGATCTGGCAGGAACATTTGGCCTCCTAAGCCTCCAATTCTCACAGCCAGGACACTACTTTAGTTTTCTCTGATGTTTGTCTGGGAGATAAAAGGAAAGGAAATGTGCTGACACTCTAAACCTACTGATGCTTAGTTTGTAAAACATACGATATGACACATACTGTAATACAGGTCCTGGCTCTGTTACTTCTCTTAAGCACTTTTTCTTCCTAGACCAATGTTCCAAGTCCATAAAGTAATATATTGCCTTGAAGCAGAGTACAGAAAACCTCAGCAATATGCCAATCCTCTGGTAGGAGAGAAATGTGAAATTGGCTGGACTAGCAAGGAATGCAGAAGGGAGGTGTTATTGCATCCCATTTCATGGTAGCCATTTGCGAAAGGGATGCTGGAAATGAGTGATTTTCTTTTCCTTGGCAAGGTTTCCTTCTTTCAGCACGTTCTCTTTCCTATGGTATGTTTTTGGAGTCTTAACAGTATGACTCTGGGTACCGTGTGTACATACATATGTAGGAATAACGTTTATGTTTCTCAGAATAGGCACTTTTTGAAGGCAGTAAATCTAAAAGTAAAGTTAATATAGCCTATATTTAGTGTTCATCTTCTCACTTTGCTGATGTGTATGCTGAACAGAAGATCACAGATTTGAGTCAGTCTCGCAAAGAGGCCGAAATCGGCAAATGAGTGTATTCAGAGCCAGGAAAGTCTTGCCAACTCGACTGTATCTGTTGAAAAGGCAGACTGGGAGGTGCATTTCTCTCAAAGGTGATGATACAGAAGGAGAAAAGCCTGTGACAAAGCTGTCAAAGAAAAGCTTGTGTGTGCGGCTCAGGGACAATTACTATGCTCAGGCTCTGTGTCACAGCTACTTCATTTCACAGATGTGCTACTTAGAAAGTTCTCTTTTGTACCTCTCATAATTGCACAGATTCCCGTTCTTAGCAGTACAGAAAGAGAAGCCCCAAACCTGTTAGAGTAGTGATAAATTTATATGTTAAAAACTAAAAATTCATTGCATAGGGAACATGTAAAAATTTCAATCTGGCATCTAGATGTGAGAATTTTGTATCTAAGTTGTTGCTTAAGGAACATTAAACTACTTGATGAATTTCATTCATGCTGAAAAAGCAAACCTAAGTATATTTGTTCCTTGGGCGGTTTCTGAAAAAGAATGGGGATACAATTCTGATGTTTAGAGGGGGAGGTTTCTTAGCTTGTTGGATAAGAATGCTCTTCATCTTTCCCAAGAGAAAAAAAATGGGTGGCATAAGAAGATAATCTTTTATAAGCGACTTTGTTACTACTTCACTATAGACTGCTGATGGTAAGATTTAGTTTGTAGGGTGCTGCATCTCTTCCCCTGAGGCTCGGACTTGATGACTGGGCTGACATGCTGGCATGGCCCATGCTAGTTCCAATGTTCCCTAGTGTGGGATTTACTTTTTCTTTTTTTTTGTAACGTAACATGAAATGGTGATGTACTTGACATTCTTCTAGAAAGTAGGCAGAAATTATAAATAATTAATAAATGCAACAATTTCCTAAATATCAACTCCTCTTTCACTATTTGATAAAATATGAGGGTATTTCTATCACTAGAATTTAAGTTATTAAAGTCTTACTCTCTTTGTGTGGATGAGGCAACAGACACCTGAGGCAAATACATCATTACCTGGTTAGGCTAGTCTCTCTCGTTGGTAATTAAAGAGTGAGTGAGAATGTTGCCCAAAAAGATGGATGAAAAAATGCTACTATTATTTTAAGGTGTAAGTGTCCAAGGAAAGAAAGAGTAAAAGGAGTATCTAAGAAAAGCTAGCTCCTCCCCCAAATTTTGCATTTTCTAAACTAGTTCAGACATACAAATAAATCTGATGAAAGGCATTTAGACTTAATAGTTCCTCACACAGAAATGACAGAGTCATGAGACCAACTATTATTCCTGTGTCCCACCTATGAAGCAAAGCAGGTCCCACACGGAATGGCAACACAGTGCCTCATTAACAAGAAAAGCTTTGTATGCTTTTCTTAACAGGTAAAAATATAAGAGGGAATCAAGCAAGAGAGATAAATACCTTTGTTTCCACCCCCACCACAAATTGCTTTGGCATATTTTAAGAGATAAATGGATCCATACAAAATTTAAATAGCTTTTTCCTTTCTTTTTTGGCAGCTTCAAAAGTGGGTCAGGTCTAGGAATTATTAATTTCTTGGCCTGAAAACCCAAGTGTTTTAAAATAAGATTTCTTTTTTGGAGGATCAGCTTTTTTGGAAGTGTGCTGTGTGTGTGTGTGTGTGTGTGTGTGTATGCTAAACAAAACATAATTGTATTTTTTCTAAGTCTGGAGAATTGTATAATATAGAGTAGAAGGAAAACATTTTGTCTTCGTTTTGGCTGTTATGTAGAGAGAAATCAGATCATGTGCCTGATTTTTAAAGGTATTTGAAAATAGCGTCCCTCTCATCTCTTCCAAGGGCTGTTTTTCATGACCATTGTTTCATTCTTTTTATTTCCTCCATGAAGACACCACAATGTGAATCTCTGTTGAGGTGCACTTTGCAGAACACTCTTAGAAGTACTCAAAATGCTGCTTGCACTCATCCATTCTTGGAATGGGGAGGCCAAGAGCACTCAGTTCTAACCCATGAGATCTGAGTCCTACTGCACTGACCATCACATGTATGGGGCCTTACAGAAAGACAACGTTCTGAATATGTGGCAGTGACCAAGGCCACCACTTTATAAGTCTTGTTTGTGTCTCCTGTCATCTTCATGTGGGAAGATGGGGTTGGCAGAAAGACTCTGATTATTATTTAACTTGGTTCTCATTAATCCTTGTAAATAAGCAAATGACAGACATTGGCTTATTAGGAGGTGCAAACTAAAGAGGAAAAAATGCCTAGAAAACTTAGTGGGTCATCTCATTCTTAAAGATTTCCTACAATGAATGCAGAGGATTTAATGCAGACAAAATATCTTTTGGTTTGTTTCCAATTAGTTCACAGATTCAACCACCCAACCAGGAGGAAGGAATGGGAGGGAGTAAAAAGGCCAGAGCACAATTTAGAGGGTCCAGCTTCCTGGGGGACGCAACCCTAGTACTGAGCTCCAGGGTAGAGAATTTCTGGATGGTCAAGGTCTCCGGGTAGATTTTCTGGATGCAACAAGAGTGTGCCAGACTCCCTGTGATGAGGATTTACAGATCACAAAACTACAACAGTCTAGGAAGCCCAGTGACAAATGTCAGAAATGCCTTCAGTCCTCAAGCACTTCTTTAGAAAGAGGGAGAGGGAGAGACAGAGACAGAGACAGACTAATATGTATTGTTGACCTTTGGGAGAGAAGCTTGTCTTCAGGATCACGTCATCCCTGTGTAACCGTGAATTCTAAGTGATCTTGTCTGAGTTAATATTGTGAACCTGACAGTGTCAGGGAGGCATTTGGTTAAGGAAACATAAACCACATTTATCTGGGGAGATTTGCTGCAACATGCCTCGGTGGCAGTTATTTTCATCGGTGGCTTTTCCTCACCAACTTCATCAAAGTGTTGATGAGAATACTCTGTGGTTTCTCACCACCAGAGAACACAGAAGAGGTGTGCAGGTCCCAAACGACCCCAAATGGCACAGTACACATGTGGATTTGCCATTAACAGCCACATCGTCTATGCAAAAAATTTTAGATGACTTGTAATGGGGGGGCTGGAGGTCTGAGAAGGATGCAATGTCCTCTAAGGTTTATGCAGCCCCAAGAGTGCCTGCTTGCAGACAGCACTGGACTTGCAAGATCTAAGTACATCTCCAAATCTGCCACTTGCCAGCTGCATTGCTTTTGGCAAGTCACTTAACGATGCTGAGCCTCAGCTTTCTCTTCTAGGATAGGGCTATTAATAACCTTCCTCCCAGGGCTGTTTTATGTGTGAAAGCAGTTTGTAAGCTCTCTTAGGAATTATTATTTTAGAGCTCAGAAAGCTACCCCCAGGTTCTTCCCAGAAGACTGATGGCAAGCTTTGCCTACAGGGCTGTCTAATTCAGAGCTGAGGTAGAAGAAGCCACAATTCTTGCTTTCCCAAAGACAGTGGAATACAACTCAAATAGCAACCTATGATAGAAATAGTTTACTCATCTCTACACAAAAGCACAGCACAATATAACCCTTTTCCTTCAAGAATAATATTCTTTTGCACAGAACTGATCAGAAGTATAGAGTTTTCTGTAGTGCCATTGTATCTTGCCTTTGACATTTTTTTTTTTTCTTGTTTAGAGCTAGAGCTTACACACTGACATCTCCCAATATTTTTAAGGTCATCAGCAGGTCAGTTAAAAGGAATGTATTGTCCAGGGGTTAGTTACTGGAGGAGGTGTGAAGCTACAGAACAACTGTCAAAACAGTGTGTCTTATAAGAAAGAAAAATCAACCAACAGAAAACTCAAACTCTAATCGTGAAACTCCCATCTATCTTTAGCATCCTAAAAATTTTTATGTCTTCAGGTAAGATCAAGGTTATTTTTCTTCTATTCAAAAGTAATAATGTTGTTCCTAAATAAAAAGTATATACTGAAGGATAATGGAGAGAGGAAGCAACATTTTATTCTGTGCTTCAGGTTAGTTTGGGGCAACAAAGAGAACATAAGCCTAAAGGATTTTTGCTTTTTTTTTTTTTTTGTATCAGAAGGTGTCTGGAACAAAGTGCAATGAGGGAAATGAGCTCCCTAAAAAAGGTGAAATGTGAATAGTGTGTGGAGTATTTGTGAGTAATGAATCTTCAAGGGAATTATAGCACCAGTGGAATAGCTGACTAGAGTGTCTTCCTAATCATGTACCTAGAAATACTAAGGCTATCAGAGGTGTTCTGCTCGTTCTGTTTGAACAGTTTAAAGAACACAGGGCATCCACATTTTCCCTTAGAAGGGAAGATGTTGTTATAAACCAATAGGAAAACACATTCTTAATGTTATAGTCAAGTTCATAGAGGGCTACTTCATATGATGCACACTGTTTTATTTTGGCAACTCATCATTTCTTTCAATTATAAAGACAGATAGAAGGAAGAAACACTTTAGTTAGCATTTCTCTGTGCCTTTTCCTTTGATTTGACCCTGAATATCTAGAAATTTTCTCTTGGTAAAGAGGAAATTCCAGAATCTGACATTTCGACCAAGGCAACGTGTCTTCTCTGTATATAGCCTATGCTTTAAGTTGCATTTAGAATATTCTCTTTGTTTCCCAAAATTAAGTTAATGAATCCATTCAACATTTAATACTGAATTGTACATCCTCCATGAAAGCTTAATAATTCCTCACCCTGCCATACTGCTTCCTGTGTAGTAAGTACATATCTAACCAGCTTGATCATATGGCAGTTGGCCTGAATGGAAGTTACTAGGCTTATCCTCCAAGAGCGACTAAGTAATACATAATCATCAATAATAATTATTACAATGAGATCCAGAAGGAATAATAATAAGATAACAAAACTAAAGAGAAAAAACTTGGGCTTCTAAGTATAGCATCCAATTCATCCATGGAGGAAAGATGTTCACTTGGGCTAAACACAAACATTGCTAGGTACAAACATGAGCATAAAATAAACACAAGTGACTCTTAAAACCAAATAACCAGTAGCTATATATGTAGAATTTTACAGTGTCTAGTACTCTTTTCTCATATTCAGCATGGATCCATACCTTATTCTTGGGAAGATGGGGATAAAGGGCTGAAAAGACCACGTGAATTGACAAATAAGTTGGAATCCATAAAGTCAAATGCTTACCTATGCTTCCTGTTGTCAGAATTACTTTGATTTAGATGTCACCAAATATAGTAGAGAACATAAAGACTCTGTGCTACATGTAGTGGAATCTGTTTACAATTAGCTATTACTCCTCTGGGTCTGAGTGCTTGGGAGAGATCCCCTTCAGGGAACTCCAATTTCATTGCCTTCTAATCCCCAACAAATATTTGCGCCTACCATGACCTAGAGTGATGCCTTTAAGTTTTTCTGAATTGTCTGAAGCAATGGAAAAAATATTTAATTAGGGAAAGTTTGGAAGAGTTAGTGTATGAGATCTAAAGTGGCAGATGTTTAGACATTTGCCGTGTTCTGTGTAGCTCAAGAGCTACAGTGGACTGCCATGACTAAGAATACTGGGGATGGTAATTAGTGAAGAGGAGAATCAGAGCTTTAAAAAGTTCATGATTCTATTATCTACAAACATATTTAGTGTTGGGGATCAATCATAACTCTACATTAGTAACAAAACAAGGTGACACAGTGACACTTCTCATTTCTGGCACATTATTCAAAACCTAGGGTTTAGCACAAAAGTTAGAAATGACATTCTGAGTTGACTAACTGCATGTGTGGTTAAGGAAAAAAGCTTCATTGTGGATATATTAACTAAATGTCCATCAGAGTTGTAAGAGTAAGGTTTTCCCTCATCCCGATGTGAATTAGGTATCTTGGAAAAAATAGCAATGCATGTAGCAGGAAAGGCTTAGAGCAAGTATATTTAAAAAATTATTTATTCAGCTATTTATTTTACTTAGGAGTGGAAAAGAGAGGGAGAGAGGTATTTTCCATCTGCTGGTTCACTCCCCAATAGCCTGCAACGTCATGTCAAAGCCAAGAGCTTCAAACAGAATCTGAATGTCTCCTACGGGTAAGTAGGGACCCAGGTACTTGAACCATTTCCTGCAATCACAAGTGGAGCTGGAACTCAAATTCAGGCACTCCCATATAGGATGGAGGCATCCCAAGAGACATCTCGTTGTGCCAAGGTCCAAGTCAATGCCAAGAATCTTACAGTTTTACATAAGGAATTAGCTGCAGGCTTTACCTACTCTTCAGTTCATATATGTTTGCACAAGATTAAATTTTGTTTAACACAAAAACTAGTTGTAGAGGTATCTATTTGTGTGGTTAGAGACTGCTATAAATTAATCAGAAATGAAGAACAAAGTTTTCAGCATTTTTTGGGTAGCTTCAATCAGTTGACTAAAAATGCATCTCTCACAAAGCTATTCACAGAATCATATGCATGTTGCCTATGAAATGGAGACTACAGCTTATTGCACAAAGGCCAGGATAGTAAAATAGAGAAAAGAATTAGTGTCATTCCTTTCTTCATTGAAGGGAAATGTACACATAATTTGCATACCAAAAACTAAAAACAGGAAACTATTACTGATCCATCTCCTGAAAAATGCTCAGGTTTGACTACTTAGCATTTGCTGGTATAATCAGGACCATGTACAAAGATACATTAAATTTCTGTAAAGATATTTTTCTTTGATAAAACTGTTTTTCATTGCCATAAGGAAAATCATGAAATTTCAAACAAATAAAACAATAAACTATCACCAAACAAAACAAAATCCTGTGGTCAAAATGCCTTGGATTAAAAAAAAAAAACAATAACCTAGTCTTAAATCGCTTTGCCCATATAGCAGAGGAAATGACATCAGTCATAAATGGATTTTCCAGGAATGCATGACCTGGGTCCCTGATGAAAATTCATTAAAAACAAAATGAAATACTGTATTATCTTATATCTTACTTTATGAAGAACTACAACTTGAAAATAGGCCATTTTAATGGAAGATTTTTATGGATGTGATATATTTTTTCTCATCATCACAACTAATTCCCGTTAAAATGGTCATAATTCCAGAAGGATGATAATGCATTGCTTTAATTCATGAAAAGTCCAAGGATCGCAACATAAGTAGGCAGGATGACAAGAAGGAATAAAGGCAGCAAGGGAGAGAAGGTGAAGGAGTAGGATGGAGGAAAGGAAAATGGAGTGGAGTACTATTAGAACATATTAACATGATAATTTCAAACTTCTTTGGATTTTGACTTTTTTTGGACTTTTTTTAATCTGGATTATTTACACTATTTAACTCTTCAGTGATGTATTTATAGTAGAGTGAGTAAATTTTTAAAAAATAAGGCACAAATAAGTGTTGCTCTCTGATTGTGTCTTCTGAAAGTACACCACAGATTGGTTTCAGGAAATGGACTTGAGGCACATTTTGCAGAGGTATCTCTTTCTCAGCTTGCTGCTTTCCTACAGATGGCTAAAGCAGGGGTATGGAACATGCTGTCATATTTCATTCATAACACACATGTACTGTAGCTCTAGGCAACAGATGGACAATCACTTGTTTAAACTACAAATGTGAAATACTAAGGTAGAATAGCAATATTTCTGGAAATGTATATGAAGAAGAAGCCTTTCCAAGCCAAGAGGAATGGTAAGAGGCTGTGAGGTTGTATCAGTGTTTCCCTGATATCCCTAACAGCTGCTATCATTTCCCCAACACCCTTCAAAACTTGAGAATGGAAGGATCAGGGGGCAGCCGACACAGATTTGACAGGAGAAGCCCAAACCATATCAAATAGAAATAACACTGCTGTCCTTGGCTGGTTCACATTACTAGGATTTTTGCTAATGAGGAAGATGATTGGAATTTGTGTTTTCAGTCCTCTCTGTGTCCATCAACTCTCGACTATTGCTCCATTGAAAAAGAATTGTTTATCTCTTTGGATCAGAATATCAAATACTTAACACAATGCAGTTGGGCTTGTTATCCTGCAAATGTTGTCATAAACATCTTTACAAAATCTTTCACAGAAAATAATCATAATGTTGGTAAGCCCATCTCAGCGATCAGCATACCCCAAACACCGTCAATGGCTTCTATAGTGCCAAGAAGGCATTAACAAGGAAAACAACCCACGTCATGGATCTGCACAAAGGTCAGCATCTTGCAACCTTGATGCCTTATGGTGAGAAGCAGATAGTTTTGATTTTCAAAGCTCATTTTGTCTGTTGCTGATGAAACTTGATCTTGAGTCAGTCTGTGCTGGGATCCAAACATTCATAAAATTTCATTTTGAAGTGAGTTGCAGAACCCATGACAGGGTGAGTGGTTTTCCTTTTCCATGTTTCCCATGTGACAGAGGATTATCAAATACTTGTGCAGCTGACAGTTTTTAAGAAATGTACACATTTTTATGAACTTTGTTATAGATTTTTGCTTTTTCCTCTTATCTATGTATTTAAACAATAATAAACAAGATAGTATAGTTTAATGATAAGGTAATATCTTTGTATCTGTTATAGGCAACATTTCATGCAACTAAAACAGTTCAGAGTGACTTGGCATTGTTTAAATCAAATGATTAATAGAAAAGTAACATGAATCATATATTTAAGATATCAGGATAAAATATGGTAGGATCCCTTCCTTACTATATCTAGTGAAAGAAAAAAATCTAAAGCTAAATATTTCTGCAAAAGGATGTGTGCACATTCATTATTATAAAAGTATGTCTATATTAAAAAGAAATTTTGTTTAAAAATCTTTGGTAAAGATACTCTGAGGTTATGTGACAAGAATATACTATAAAAATTTATAAAGAAGCAGTATTGTGCTAGCAATGTCACATTGATGGGCTTGTGACACTATTTTCTTATAATTTCCTTTTGGCATGTAAACATTTGGTTACATAAAGACTTAAGTATATGAAAAAGTAGGCTGTTATTGCATTTTTATAGCATAAATATTTCAGTCTTCGCCTTTTGGCAAAATTTACAATAATGTGATGGTATTTCCCAAGATAAAATCTCTCAATAAATTGGACTCTCTGCTTTTGGCCTAAAGACAAAGTATGGAACAGAAAACAAGCCAACAAATCAGCTCAAGCAGATCACCCCAGTTGTCTAACAGTCAGTGCGCTCTGAGGCCGTCGGGATTGTCTGGTGTTTAATTTGGAAGACAGCAATTCAAAGGCACACTTGGCATTTTATCCTACAACTAACATGCTGCCCTGCATGAGTCTCACTATATTTCACATTGTGAGCTCAAGCATAATGGAAGCAAGGTAAGAAGAGCACAGTGGTCAAAGCAGCTCGGAGAAGGTGTCACGTTTATGGTCTGAACACAAGGCTGGTGATTGACACAAGCAAATATGCCATCAGTAGTGAAGATGACTGAGCTCCACAGTGACCACAGGCTTCAGAATTTGTTCTTGTTTTGTTTGTTTTTTTTTTTGTTTTTGTTTCTTTTTTTTTTGTTAAAACACTTTTATTATTTCTATTCAAGTAAAATAATCAGAACTCCTGAGGCAAGGGTTGTGATAAAAAAAATGCACAAATAATTGTTCATTACCATTCTGGATGTTAAAGGTTAAAAATCAGACTAGAATCTATCAGTTCGAAATTATGAAAAGCTATTTGTGGAATAAGGAAAGGGGATACAGGGGAATGTAATTATATGTTATATCTGATTTCTTAAAGTAGGTGTTCGGCATATAGGAATTTATTATATTATTTATACCTTTTTCATATTTAAAATACTCCATAATTTAAAAGTATATACTTGTGGAAAATCTGAAGAAAGGTTTAAGAAATCTCAATACAAAATACTTAGTTGACAAAATAACAACTTGCCACTACTAAGCTAGGTGGCTCTCAAATGAAACATGCTAGAACTTAATAAATATGGCTCTGCAGTTGGCATGCAAGTGTTCCACTGGCTAATAAGAATTTGAATAAGGATTCTAGGCAGAGACTGCATATTTTTAGCTCAGAAAGACAATTTTTTTTCCCTGTGATTATCTTTGAAAGTGTGGTATAAATGTCACGTCGATGATATGAAAATGTCTCCTGCAATATGTAATTTGAGTTGCAGAAGGATTAGGATAATAATGAAACTGTGGTTTCACAATCTTTTTAAGATTTCTTTTTTAAAGTCAACTAGACAAAGCTTCACAATCTTATTTCCTGATTTGCAAATGTCAGACAAAAATGGGCCTGGGTCTGGAGGCAAAAAGGAATTTGAACTATTCTTTACATCTTTCTCTAGAGAAAAATACGCCAATTTTGGAAGATGTGTTTGGATATTGGAAACACCATGACAGTACTCATCTTTCTAAGATGAAAAGTGGGACAGTACTGTAAATGTTTCATTCTAGAGAAAACCATGATTGTATTATGTGGTGGCATTGAAAAGGAAAACCTTATGATGATGCTGTGGAATAAAGGACTTTTCAGACATAACCCACCCCATCTCCCTGGCCAATTGCTTCTCCCAGGATACCAAATTTCATGTCTTTAGGAAAAGTTTGAAGTTCAACTGCTCATTAACCATAGGCCAATAATTGTTTTCAATGAGTTCTGACCATTGGCTGCTAGAGACTTTAAATTTCAATGGCTGCAAGTTTTGGCGTGCTTCAACTTATGCTTTTTGAAACTTTAGTCCTTTAGAGACCAATATTGACATTATACATTCTTCCCACTGCACCGAATCTCACCCCAAGAGACATGAGTGTCATGCAGCAACAGCAAAAAGTCTGTATTTTAAATCCGTGGCAAAAGAATGGCTAACCTTTCTAATTACAGGCAATGTGGAAGTGATAGGATGGAGACTTTAAACCTGAAAATCACCTGTGATTTGGCAGCCTCACCCAGGAAAAACTGTGTGACAGCAAATACCACACTAAAAAAAGCCATTCAACCAGATGAAAAGTGAGACAAACATGGGGATTAAAAGTTACAGGAATGCAGAAGTGAATGGGATGGAGCATAATCCGTGCAAAAATGTGTAAGTACTTGGAACAAAGGCCCACAGAGGGCTGGCATGATTAAATGTGAAATGTGTTATTTTGGTGGGAAGTGAAAAAAAAAATCTTATCCACTATGTGTTTCTAAAGAAAAATTAACAGCAGTTAAAGAACTGAGACCACCCCACAGATGATTGCATTTCCTCTATTTTTCCTAATGGTTTCCCTTGTGTTTCACTCTTCTCAGCGCCATCCACCAACCAGCTACACAGGTGACCGAATCTAGAGGTCGGTGCTTGCCTTGGCAGTCAGCACTCGGATGCGGGCTGTGTTGCAGCTCTTGCAGAGGATGTGCCCATCCAGCGGGTAGCAGCCTTGATTATCACCTTCCGACAGAAGACCACCACAATCCTAGAAGAGGAAGGCAATGGGGAACAGTGTCATTGAAACCACATGCCTTAGTTTTCCATGAAATAGCTATTTACCACCTTCCTGGTTGTGTACCTCTCTACCTGGTGTACCTGGCCTACCTACTCCATTCTCATCCAGCCAACAATAGGAGTTGATGAAAGGACAATAGGCTCCTAACCACTAATTCATCTTCACCGTTTATCATGAGCTTCAGGATCTCTCAAAAGGAATATACAGGTGCCAGAATGGAAGGTTTTGGCCATTTCTGGGCAAAAGCAAACGCAAAGTGATTGCTGCCAAGCAATCCTAGGATCCCTAATCCAAGGACCCCTAATGAATTCTGCAATAGTTACACCAATTGTAGAAAGAAAACAACATCCTAACATTTGTGGCCAGCACTGCTTTGCTGTATTACCCAGAGGACAGAGCATGATGTAGACTGGACTGGGAGACACCACCCTTAGGACTGCCATAGCCTGCATCACTGCATGCAAGGTTGACTGCTACTCTGAAAATAATGGCTGCATTTTCTACCTTTCTAAGCTGTTGGGAGGATCAAAGAGGATAATGGATGTGAATGTATTATGAAAAAAATGCAGTTACATAACTATAAAGGATTAGGCCACTACTGACAGTATCACAGAAAGTCCACTTGGGAAATATTTTATAGTAGTTAAAATGTTGGCCCTTGCCTATAGACACAATAGAATTTTCCTTGGAAACTAAATATACTGGATTTCATCTAATGGTGTGTATCTTCATTACTTTGCAAAGGCCAGAACTGCTGCAAAACATTGCTCTGCTATCTACCATGATGGTACCAGAACTCACTGTATTTGACACATAATAAAATTGAAGCTCATTCTTAGATTGTAGCAGAGGCAGTAGTTAGTGTTGCACAAGATTGGCTATTCTTGAAAGAACAAGCAAATATGGTGCCTCTATAGACAGTTTGGAAACTGAAGAATTAACAAAACAAGGTCTTTTCTAATTGGATGAACGCAAAATATGTTTCATGGATGCCACAGTTTTGAATGTGCAATGAGTTGACATCTGCAGGCTCCTGGACACCTCCAACAAGCCAGAGCTAGAATCACCAATACACTGAATACTGGAGTTAAAAGGAGCTTTAGAGGAGAAGGTAAGAAGCCAAGAGGGAGGCCATCTCTCTGTTCTCAGGCAGAGTCTGATGGCAGGTCAGAGCAAATATCTGCCCCTTATAATTCAATGTTCCTTCTGTTTTTATAGTCTTCATTTCTAAAACAATCCTCATCATTATGAAACCACCTTAATTTAAACAGCCACTGTCGACTCTGAGAAGAGGAAGGACCCATTTAATGCAAGTTTTAGTGGGGAAGCAAAAGGCCTGTTTGGTGTGAACATCAAGTGTGTGAGCAGTGCTGGGAACCTACCTTTTCTCAGCCTTGTCTTCTCCATACGTAAAATCCCTAAAGTATGTGCTAGTTCTTATGCATTCATATATAATTTGGGATCATATGTAAAATGATGGTTGGACATTGTTGTGCTCTGTTTCCCTAGTAATTAAAACCTTGCATTGTCTTTCATTATCTTTTCTCATATTGAGTCAGAGAGAGGCATGCAACTTGGGCTCTAGGGCAAAACAGAACACGCTGGCTGAAACAGATGGTCAGTTAAAACTAAGCTGTAAAAGGAATGAATGTAGTCCCACAGAGCCAGGGGTCGTGCCGATGGTCCAGCTGGTCTGTATCCTGGGAGGAACTCCTGCTTAAACCAGATGAACCCTACTGAGCAACTGGAATTAAGAAAGTCTGTATTTCAAAGATTTCACACAGACAGAAAAGGGGCTGAGGAGTGTTGTACTCAGAGAAGTTAAACACTGCTTCCAAGCAGGGGATCTGGTAACTTGTAAAATTTGGAAAAGAGAACATTCAAAAAAAAAATCAGAATGTGGCACCCATTTGATGCCCGAATAATAAGGCGGAAGATGTGATGCTGCTGCTTGGCTGCACGCATGGCTCCACCTGCCTTAGGCTTCAGCTGGTCCCATTTGAGAAGGCTTCTTATCACTCCCAGCCTGGATTACAGGTTCTTTTATGTCTGTATATTACTCCCTGGAGCCTAATTCTCAGGTAGACCTTACCTGACCTCTTGTCCAAAAAGTCAGCTCTTACTAATATGTGAATGAATCTCTGGGGACTTTGAACAAGAATCCCAGCTCCTCCGAAATGTTGAGTTCTTGTTCTAAGTGGCAGTGGTACCCCTGCCCTGTATGAGCAGTGACCAAAGCAACAGGGCCAACACTGAGGACTCAGTAGAAGGGTAATACCACTTCTCCTTAACTCAGTACTTCATAATTCACACATTTTTGAGCTTCAATCTCACAGCCATATTGGTGGGAGAGCCATATAGAGAACCTTTGTATAGATGGGAGACAGAAAAGTAAAATGACTTATCCAATGTTTCCGCATTTAATATCAGATCTAAAATCAAGTCTTTTGAATATAAGCACTAAGGGCTTCCCCAGATTTCACAAAATTCCTACGATCTTGAAAAGCTAGCTTTGGCAGGGTTTTGGGGCACAAGGTACAGACCTCACAGCGGTAGCACTGGACATGGAAGTCACGATCTAGAGCCACAATGCGGACGGTCTCCTCCTGGCCAGGAGCCGGCATAATAGGCTCCTTGCACACAGAACATCGGGGAGCAAATTTCCTGAAAATGGAGAGAACATTTTGGTTAGATACTGAGCATAAACATTGACTGAGGGGGAAGATAGAGTTTAGAAAAGATGTAAACTTGGCAGGAGTCAGCATGCCTGATCTGTACTTGTCTGGGAGTGCTGTCTCAGCTCTACATGAAGGTACTGGATTCTTGAGCTCTTTGCAGATGGAAAAATCTTGTGATATTTGTTGAGGTGGGTATGAGTGTGTGAGCAGCTCACACAGTCATGGGGTGTATAGTATGGAATTTGTCTTTGCATAGATTCCCAGTAAGAACCCTGAGCTTGGGCTGGGCTTCATGGAGGGCAGAAGGAAGGTCCTGCAGGCCCCTGCTTGTCTGCTTTCTGCTTCTAGACCCTGTTTCTTTTCATCAGACCCTATCCCGGAGGCAATATGAAATTAGTATCCTGGCCTCATTCCCACTTACCGGACCCCCATTCTTAGAAATGAGCCTTGAATTCTAGGAATTGAGACAAAAAACCTCAACTAGCTTTACAAAATGGCAGAGGTGAGTTTAAAAACACATTATAAAACCTTTCATCTGTCACATCTGAAATTCTTATATTTTGTTTGAGAGGAAAAATTTCAAGAACTGGGAATTTCTTCATTCTTCAAGGGATTTTAGCATTTTTAAGTGGGACATATATGCAAAAATATATGCATATGATTTGAGACTGCCTGAAGAAGTTTAATATTTTATTATTCAGTATTTTTTAGAAATTTAGAACAGTTTAAGTTACAAAACAACAATTGTAAGGTAGCAATACAAATGCCTATACACTGCTTACTCCATTTATCCAATTTATAGCTCATATTAGTGTAAGTGTTACAATGAATTAACTCTACCCAGCTTCCCTGATTTTGTTTTATCAAAACTCCTTTTATTCCTCCCACCCCTCCCCAAGGGACTGCTGAATCACATGGCATTTCCTAATTTCTAGTATTTCAAGAAATATACATACTGATTTCCACTGTGGTTGCTTTGATTTATCAATAGTGTATAAGAGTTCCTCTTTTTCCAATGCTTGCCAGCATTTATGATTATTTTTTTTAATCACTGCCATTCTCACAGGGGTGATTTCGATGGCTAGTGATACTAAGAATTTTTTTCATCTATTTCTTGACTACATTTCTTCTTTTGAGATCTGTTGAGGTCCTTTGCTCATTTGTCAACTGGATTTTTTTTTTTTAAAATTTCAGTTGCTGATACATTCTGCATTTTAATCCTTTGTCAGCTAATTAGCTTACAAATATTTTCTCCCATTCTATTAACTGTCCTTTTATTCTATTGTTTTCCTTGCTGTGCAGAAGCTTCTGAGATTTCTATAATCCCATTTGCTTGGCTTTGCTTTGTTGCCTGTTTTCTGAGGCCTTATCCAGAAAACCTCACTGCCTAACCCAGTGTGTTAGTTATTCCGCTATGCTTTCTTTAAGCAATCTCATAGTTTATACAAAACTAAAAATGTAAAAACACAATCTTGAGAGTTGATTTTTGCACTTGATGAGTGAGATCTGATTTCATTTGTGTTTTCTTCCATATATACATTTAATTTTGGCAGCACCATTTATCAGGGAGATTATCATTTCTCCAACACATGTTCTTGATATCAAGTGGCTGAGTAGGCATTGTGGTATGACAGGATAAGCAACCACCTGCAATGCATCTATCAATATCAGAATACCAGTTCCAATCTGGGTTGATCCACTTTTGATCCAGCTTCCTGCTAATAAGCCTGGGAAAGCAGTAAAAGGTGGCTTAGGTACTTGAGTTCCTGCTTCCTGTGTGGGAGACCAGGATGGATTTCCTGGTTTCTGGTTTCAACTGGGGCCCACCCAGCCATCTGGGGAGTAAAACATAGGATGGAAGATCTGTCTTTTCCTCTCTGTCATTCTGCCTTTCAAGTAAATAAACGCTTAACAAATTTTGACAGCATCTACATGGATTTCTAGGTTTCCTGTTCATTTCATTGATGTGTGTACTGGTTTTCATGCAAGCAAAGTTATCATTATTATTGCTTTAGTAGTGCGTTTTCAAGTTAGGTCAAAGGATGACTCCAGTTACATTGGTTTGGTTATTCTCCAGATTTACGATTCCACACAAATCTTACATAGTTTTTCTGATTCTGTAAAGAATGTTATTGGTATTTTGAAAGCGATAACATTGAATCTGTTGATAGTTGAGTCTAGTCTACTGATTTCTGTCTGTAGATAAACATTTTGTTCCATTTTTTGGTGTATCCTGAATGATTTCTTTTTTCAGTGTTTTCATAATTATCCTTTGAGAGATTTTAGTTTGCTTTATTAAATTTAATTGTAAACAGTATGGTGAATAATATTTCTTCAGTGAAATAATTGTTAATGAAATATTATGTTTTTATATTCTGTGACATTAGTGAATTGGTAATTCTAACAAATTTTGGGTGTGGTGTTTGTTTTTTTCATATACAACATCATGTTATCTGCAAATGAGTATATTTTGATTTTCTCCTTTGCAGTTTCTACTTCTTTAGTTTTCTTACATTCCTTAATTACCCCTTGTAAAACTTTAGATACTATATTGAATAAAAATAATGAAAGTGGATATCCTTGTCCTCTTTCAGATTTTGAATGGCAGCACTTTCAACTATTTCCCATTTAGTATGATATTAGATTTTGCTTCTGCTATAAATAATCCTTTTAAATTTGAGGTATCTTCCTTCTGTACCCAATTTGGGAAGGGCTTTTATTGTGGAGGGAATATTGATTTAAACTATTTTTTTTTATTTGAAAGACAGATTTTACGGACAGAGAACCGACAGAAGTCTTCCATCTGCTGGTTCAGTCCCCACGAGTCTGCAACGGCCAGAGCTGAACTGTTCTGCAGCTAGGAGCCAGGTCTGCTAGTAGGTGCAGGGGCCTAAGGACCCGGGACATCCTCTGCTACTTTCCAGTTCATAAATAGGGAGCTGGATTGGAAGCAGAGCAGCCGTGACTTGAACTGCACCAAAAAGGATGCTTGTGCCACAGGCTGAGGATTAGCCTATTATGCCCCAGCAGCAGCCCTATAATACTGGATATTTTTAAAGGTTTATTATTATTATTATTATTATTATTATTTGAAAGGCCGGGATGTACACACACACAGCTATTACATGAAATGGTACCCATATAGGATGCTGGTGCATCAAGTGGAAGCTTAAGGTATTCACCATGGCAGTGGCCCTGGGAATATTGGATCTTATTAAATACTTTCTCTGCATCTATTGAGATGATCATATGGTCTTTGTTCTTTGACCTGTTGATGTGACTTACGACCATGGTTGATTTTTGAATATTGACCAATCTGCTTCTCTGGGATAGATCAAATTTGGTCTTGATATATGGTTTATTTAGATATAGTGTGTTTGACATGTTTTGTTAATATTTTGTTGAAATTTTTTGTATATGTTCACCAAGGATATTGTCCAATAGTTTTTTTTTTTTTTCTGTGCTGTCTCTTTGGTTTTGGTATTAGAGTGATGCTGGTCTCATAAGGGAATTTTTAGACTTTCAATATTTTAGAATAGTTTGAAAACTATTAGAGTTGCTTCCTCTTAAAAAGTTTTATAGAATTCAGTAGTAAATCCATCAAGTTCTAAACTTTCCTTTAATGGGAAACTTAATTACTGCTTCATTTTCCTGGATTGTTACAGCTATGTTCTAATTTCCTGTGTCTTCTTGATTTAATCTTGGTAGGTTGAATGTATTAAAAAATTTAAGCATTTCTTGGAGGTTTACCAATCTATTAGCATGTGCATGATGCATTTCTTCTATATTTCTGTGACTATCTATAATGTGTTTTTAGCTCAGAATTTCTGCTTTTTTTTGACAGTATGATTAAATTTTTTATTTTATTCTCAAAACCTAGCTTTTTGTTTATTTGGCATTGTGTTTTAAATTGGAATTTCATTTACTTCTTCTTTTATGTGTATTATTTCTCACCTTCTACTGAATTTTTGTTTTCCTAAGTCCTTGTGCATTATTAGTATCAGATCTTTCTATATATATATTTTAAGTCTAGTATTCACTCTACTAAACTTCCTTCTTAGTACGTTTTGTGCTTTATCCCATGGTTTTATTGTATTTCATTTTCATTTGCCTTAAGGCATTGAATTTTTTAAATTTAATTTATTCAGTGATCCATTGGTCATTCAGTAGTATGTTTTTAATTGTAACAAATCAGTAAATTTTTACTCTGATTTTTAGTTTTATTCATTTGTGGACTTATGTGCTATCAAAGTTTTTAAAGCTACTGAGACTTGACTTGTGGACTAATATATATTCTATCTTAGAAAACTTCTATAATAGGCTAATCCTTCCCATAAGGCACCAGCATCCCAAATGGTTACTGGTTTATGTCCTGGCTGCTCCACCTCTGATCCAGCTGCCTGCTTATGGTTTGGAAAAGTAGCAGAGGATGCCTCAAAGCCTTGGGATCCTGCATTTACATGGGAGACCCGCGACAAGTTCCTGTCTCCTTGCTTCAGATTAGCTCAATTCTGGTGAGTTGAGGAGTGAGCCAGAGGATGTAAGATTTTTCTCTCGTTCCTTCTCCTGATAACTTTGCCTTTCAAATGAGAATATATCTTAAGTGAGTTTTTGAGAAATAAATTCCATGTTCTGATGAGAAGAATATGTATTTGACAGCTGTTGGGTGAAATGTTCTATACATATCTGTTAGGTTCATTTTCTCCACAGTTTGGCCTAACTTTATGTTGATTTTCTGTCAGAATGGTATGTTCGCTCCTTAACAGTGGAGTGTTGAACTCTTCCACTGTCAGTGTATTACAGGCTATCTTTCCTTTGAGGCATAATAAAATTAGCTTTATATATCTGGATGGTCTTATATATACATATATTTATGATTGTATCTTCTTGCTGAAACGATTTATCAATATATAATGTTTCTTTTTACAGTTTTTGATTTAAAGTCTGTTTTATCTGGCATATATAGCTATTCCCACTTATTTTTGC